ACCACCCTTGGTATATGGGGATGGTGCCCTACCCACTGAACCACAGGCACTGCCCAAAATGTAATTTTTGGAGGGTTTTTTTGAGACAGAGCCTCAAGCTGTTGCCCTAGGTAGAGAGCTGTGGCATCACAGCTCACAGTAACCTCTAACTCCTGGGCTCAAGCAATTCTCCTGCCTCTACCTCCCTAGTAGCTTGGACTACAGGCACCCACCACAACACCCCAGCTATTTTTAGGTTGCAGTCGTCATTGTTGTTGGGCGGGCCAGGGCTGAATTCCAACCTCCAGCTCAGGCCTATGTGGCTGGCACCTTAGGCACTTGGGCCACAGGCACTGAGCCCAAAATGTAATTTTTTTTAATGGTTGGTTCAGTTTTGATAAATCAGATGGACGAACCCAAGTATTAGGAAACCAGTCTGCAGCAGGTACAATTCCCTATCCATGGGAACAGATATAAAGCAAAGGTCCTGGTGTTCTTCCATTGACAGATTGGTAATTTCTCATTTCCAAACAGCTAGTATAATTTTATTTGTATGTTTCTGTTACATCTAATGGGGTTCATCTTACTCATTCTTTCAACATTTGTTGAGTGCAACGCATTTAGAACTAAGAGTAAGACACGATACAAAATAAGTCTAAGAAGGTCACAAAATAATATGATAGAAACTGTGCCAGAGTTACATTCAGGGGGGCGGAGCAGTCAATGAACAGACTTTACACTACACAGAAAGCCCAAACAAGACCCAGAAGACATCATCCAGTTACTTGGGGCTTTGATAACAAAAGTTTCACAAAGCTTGAGATAGCTTATTTGGTACTATTGTATACACATAAAAGGCATCTCAATACTTTACAGAGCGAGGTGTAATCTAGGTAAAAAGAGAATAATCTCAAACTGCCATTGCCATTAGATTACACAAGAGCCCATAATTACTAGAGATGGAGATATGAATGAGAGAAGACGACTCCAATGGAGTTCAGCACTCTTATACAACACCTAACTCTCTCTAGAAAAAAATGACTTCACACTAGCCCTGAATTAAGATCATCTGTGAGAAAGTCAGATGAAATAGTCTCAAGAATTGTTATGTTTGAAAAGCTTTCTTTCTACTATGGCCATCTCCTCCAAATTCCTGCATAAGACAACCAATGGGGGAAAGAAATCCCTCCAAACAATGTTCCCATAGTCATCATGCCAGATAAGGAACTAACCAGTTTATATGAAGTAAAGCACTCAGTACTATGCATCCACATCCCACATGGATAGAAAGGACTCTTCTGAATTAA